AGAAGAAGAAGAAGAAGAAGAAGAAGAAGAAGAAGAAGAAGAAGAAGAAGACGAAGAAGAAGAAGAAGAAGAAGAAGAACAGTGGCCATAGACTGCTTCTCGTACAAGCATAGAGCGACATGCATGTACAGTTCTCAGTTTCCCGACGCGTCAAGGCCAGGTTGCAGATTTGGCACTTCTCACGGGGCTTCTCCGCAGATCCGCCTAAGCTTGCGGCAGGACCAAACGTTCCAGAGTCCAGACCATATGAGAATCAATGAATTGAATGAAAGGAGAAGAAGAAAAAAGAAAAAAAAAAAGAACGAAGGAGAACCAATGAATGAATGAACGGAGAAGAAGAAAAAATACGAAAGAAAGAATCAAAGAAGAAGAAGAAGAAGAAGAAGAAGAAGAAGAAGAAGAGGACGACGAAGAAGAAGAAGAAGAGTAGTGGTAATCGATATGATGAACAATGGGCCTATGCTTTTTTTTTGCTCTTTTTTTCAGAATCAGCGGCCTAAACTAGGGGGGGGGGGGTGATATGAGCAGAGCCCTCCCTAGCAGCAGTCCTTGGTTGCTCCCATCTATTGGACCAGGTGGAGAGCTGCTACTGCTGGGGGGGAAACAGGTCCAGCGTCCCTTATACAGTCAGTATCGAAGAACAGTTTTTTTTTTTTTTGGACCATTTCTCGATTTATGCGTGTCATCCTTGCGCAGGGGCCATTTGCTAATTTACCCTTCTCTGTATTGTTCCAATCCTTTTAACGGATGTCCCGAAGAACAGATTCTGTGTTCGACCAGCATTGATTGCCCGGGGGTTCTATTCGGGTGGGGATTGACTGAGTGGAATGCCTCTTTACCCTTGGAAAGGGCAAGGGTGTGCGACTTCCGTGGCCTTCTACCGTCGCCCACCCGAATACAACGCCCTGTCCTTACAGCTGTTTGTGGACTGAAAATTGCACCACATTCGTCTACATAATGACCGGGCGCTCTATTCGGGTGAAGACGGTAGCATTGATAAACCCTCTTCCTCTTCTTTCATCCTCCGGAGGCTGCCCCGAGTGAGGCCGGGAACAATCCCCACCACAGTCCTGAGAGACACTCCCCCCGGGACCAATTCCCACCAAGTCCCACCAAGTCCCAAACATATCCCACCAATCCCCACCACAGTCCTGTGAGACACTCCCCCCCGGGACCAATTCCCACCCTTGACCTAGTATCCCACCTGTCCCCACTGCAGTCCTCAGTCAGACCTTCTCATACTATGCTTCTCTTTTTGTTTAATTATTTTTTTATAAACATGAATTTATTAAAATGTTAAAACGCGGGATGACAAAAAAAAATCAAACAGTCAGACCTTCTCATACTATGCTTCCCTTTTTGTTTAATTATTTTTTTATAAACATGAATTTATTAAAATGTTAAAACGCGGGATGACAAAAAAAAATCAAAAAAAAAAAATCAAAAAAAAAAAATCAAAAAAAAAAAAAAGCGGGATGACACGCATAAATCGAGAAATGTTCCAAATTTAGAAACAAAAAAAAAGCGGGATATCATTGGGAACACTCGGAGATAGAACTGTCATTAGAGATTGAGGGCGTGCACTCACACTGGGACTAGTTTCTTGGGGGTATCTAACTGTAATGACGGCCAGATTCAATCCCCAAAATCCTATTGTGAGTAGGCGCGCATATACGTGCCCTGGGAATCCTGTCTTCGGTGTACCTGACCGTAATCGCGGCCAGATTTAATTCCTTCGTCCTTTCTTGGGTGCATCTGATCCTAAGTACGCGCGCTCAGAAAAGAGATGCGGTGCCAACAATTTTATTTTTTTTATTTTTTATTTTTTTTCCTTGGGCCCGGTGCGAACATCATGGCATCATGAGGCACCGTACTGAAAGAAGGAAAGCCTAACGGCACACCTTTCGCTTTCGAGCCCACATCTTTTTATTTTTATTTTCTTTTTTTCTGCGGCACGATACGACCTTTCTTTTTTTCTTTTTTTTTTTTTGAACGAAAGCGAAAGGTGTGCCCTTTTTTTTTTTCCTGAACGAAAGCGAAAGGTATGACATTTTTTTCTTTTCTTTTTCTAATCTGAAGGCATGAACTTCCCTACGATCATTATTCAGCAAAAAAAAAAAAAAAAAAAAAAAAGCAGAACAAACTTTGGCAAAAAAAGAAAAACAGTTCATGTGGCTGAATGGCACACACAAATTGACACAATGCCATGTATTAACTGATAGTAAACAGAGGATTAGTTCTAGTCCCGACAGAATCATATGAAAACAATTTAGAAAAAAAAAAAAAAAAAAAAAAAAAAGGAGAGGGTTTCAGAGGTATCTGAACCTATGTCCCGGGCCAAGTCCCACTAGCATCGTTGAGCTACCTCAACGCCTGGATGTGGACGCTTTTGTGGAGATGTGCAGAAATGGTGTCGAGTTTCCTAAAGTGCACGTCTCCACAAACACGTCCAGATTCAGGCGTTGAGGTAGCTCAACGCTGCTAGTGGGACTTGGCCCCACGGGGACCAAAATGTCAAATGTTACCAATCTGCTGCTTCATTTCTGAAAAAAAAAAAAAAAAAAAAAATCAAATATTACGAATCTCGTGCTCCATTTCTGAAAAAAAAAAAAAAAAAAAAAAATCGGACCCGTACACATCAAACGAAGTGAACCCTGTGGGGGGCAAGGTTCCACTAGCAAAGAGGATTGGATTTAAACCCTGCATCTGGACGTGTCTGTGGATAGGCGCAGAAAATCGCGGTTGATCCGCTTGTCTGCATACCTGCATAAAACACATCCAGATTCAGGCGCTTCATCTAATCCTCGTTGATAGTGCGACTTCGCCTCGGCTCAACGATCGATTGTTTTTTGAAAGCCTTGGGCGCTGGGCCCGTTCGAATAAAAATCGATTGTTTAACTCAAAAAGTAAACGATTCCTTTTTTTCTTTTTTTTTTTAAGGAAAAGAGACATCTCATAAATGCGCGAGAGAGGAGCCGATGATCAGGGGGAAACTCGAAGGCGGCTGGAGAGGAGAGAGTCCGAGAGACTGCTTCATGGGGAAACGGGAAGAGGGTAAGGAGGAGCCATTTGCGCTTGAGGGAGAGAGAGAACGACGGGGGGAGCGACACAGAGAGTGAGAAGGGCAAGGGGGGAGAGAGAGAGAGAGAGAGAGAGAGAGAGAGAGAGAGAGAGAGAGAGAGAGAGAGAAGTTAGTAGAGAGTCTAGAGACCACTAGAAAGAGAAAGAGAGAGAGAGAGAGAGAGAGAGAGAGAGAGGAGGGTGGGGGGGGGGGGGGGGGAGGATGCGCGCAATAGAGCAAGCGAGCCGGACAACTCATCGAGCGCAGTGAAAACAGTCGAATAAAAGAAAATATATATATATTTTTTAAACAAAATAAAAAAACATGAGGGGAAATCACATCAAGGAAGAATGTGATCCCATCCTTCAGGAAACGAAGAGCAGGAAAATGACGAGTTCGATAAGATCGCACCGGACGCAAAAAAGAAACAGAAGGAAAAAAAAAAAAAAAAAAAAAAGATCGGGAAGAGGAGGAAGGCAAGGCGGAGTAGGAGAGGAGATGTACGAGGAGGAGCAGGAGAGAGGAGGGAGAAAAAGAGAGGAGGAGGGAGAACGAGGGCAGCGGAGGGAGGAGGAGGGAGGAGGAGGGAGGAGGAGGGAGGAGGAGGATAATGGAGTGCGGAACAGCGTGGCTAAGAGGAGAGAGAATGTTGGGAGCAGTAACCGGGGAGTACAAGGAGAAAAAATGATAAACAAGAGGCATACTAATCAACAACTTGGAAAATGGAAAGGCCAAAATAAATAAATAAATAAATAAATAAATAAGGAGAAAGGGGTAGGGAGAAGCAAAATACGGGGATGACTTGTGGCGAGGAAAGAATAAAGAAAGAAAAAGATATTCACTACCGGTAGGGCGTCGAGACATCGCGAGAAGCTCCAAATTAACTTTGCTTCGTAAACAAACAAAAAAAAAAGGGAAAAAATAAAGGAGCTGCTCACCGCGGTCCAGGGAAAAGAAATAATATTTAAAAAACAATAATAATAATAATAATAATATTAAAAAATAAAACAAAAAACATATATGTCGAAGGACAAAGCCCCTTTTCTCAAAGATGCTCTACTTCTGGCCAGGTCGCTCCCGTGACGGAAATGGAGATGGAGATCACGATGGCAATGGCGGTGGAGATGGAGATGAAGATGGAGATGGAGATGAAGATGGAGATGGAGATGGCGGTGGAGATGGAGATGGAGATGGAGGATGAGATGGAGATGGAGATGGAGGATGAGATGGAGATGGAGATGGAGGATGAGATGGAGATGGAGATGGAGATGGAGATGGAGACGGCAAACTCTCTCCCCCCGTTTTCTTCTCCTCCATAATAGTCTTAGGGCATACTCACACAAGGACCTTTTACACTGACCTCTGGACGTGATTGCTGTCAGATGCATCCAGGTCTGACCATAATTGTAGTCAGATTCATTTGGGAAGGTTCACGAGCGGCATGGCCGCCATCGCCGCCTTGACGGGAATCATATTAGTATATTGCCAAATATCTTGTACGGGAACGCATGGCCTCCATCGCCGGCAGAACGGGAATCATATGTATGCTGCCACTGCTAGGAGTTTATCCTGGCAGCCTACGCCAGTTTCGGGCAGCTATATCTCTTTTTTTTAATTGTTTCTTTTTTTCTTTTAGAGAAGGGCGACGTTCTTGAGATATCATCATTAAAAAAAAAAAAAAAAAAAAAAAAAAAGGAAGAAGAAGAAGAAGATATCATGATTGAGCTGACCGGCCCCCAGGCAATTAAAAAATATTTGGTTTTACTCATCAATCAAGTTCCATCATCTGGATTCGAACACGGGTCTGTATTTCAACAGTTGAATGAGGTAAACCCACTGAGCTCGGCTCTTGGGTGGCAGCTCTATCTTTTTTCTTCTTTTTTTTTTCTTTTTTTTTCTTCTTTTTTTTTCTTCTTTTTTCTTTTTTTTTTTCTTTTTTTTTTGTATCTCAAGGCCCTCGCTCTTTCCAAAAAAAAAAAAAAAGGCAAAAAAGGGAAAGGAAAAAAAACGTCGTCAGTTGCTGCACCCATATGGAACCCGTTGAAAACAGAAGTAAGCTCTGGAATCCAGATGGAACCCGTTTAATCAAGACGGAACCAGGGCCGAGGTCCCACTAGCAAAAAGGATGGGATCGAGCTCCTGAATCTGGATGTGTTTTAAGCAGAGATGCAGAAAAGCAGTTCAATCTCCATTTCCTGCACATCTCCATAACCTCATCCAGATTCAGGCATTCGATCCTATCCTCTTTGCTAGTGGGACCACGACCCAGATGAACCCAGATCGAACACGATGGATCTTCTTAAAAAAAAAAAAAAAAAAAAAAAAAAAGCGCACAGTTCCGGGAAAAAAAAAACAAATCAAAAGTAAAAAGCACACAATGACGGGCAGAGGGCCTCGCCGCACCACTCACCAAATGTCCGCAAGACGACCATGAACCTTCGCCTCGAACATGGAAATATACACCGCCATATTTTTTGTCCTTTCTGCACTTGGTCAGTAGTTCGGCGGCGACGCCCCGAATCCGTAGTGTGCCCAAACCTGCGACAGCGCTCACACTACCGCCGGCATTTTTTTCTTCTTTCTTTCTTTTTTTTTCATGTGGCCCGATGGACCACGGATCAGCCTCGCTCCACTACTCCCCAAATGTGCAAAAAGAGAATGAATCTTTGGCTAGAATAGGTAACTATACACTGCCATATTTTTTGTCTTTTGTGCCTGTGGAGAGTCGTGGAGGGCCTCGCTGCACTACTCTCCACATGACGGCGGTGTATCTTTCCTTGTTCTGCTATCGCGGCCTGCTGTGCTGGCACCGGACGCCTCGGGATACACCGCGCCTCTGGAACATCCACGTGGCAGAGAGAGCGCCCAATTCTTTTTCTCTATTTTGTTTTTTTAAGTCGGCGCCCAGTTCTCACTTGCTGATTTCACCACCAACCGGGGGCAAGGTCCCACTTGCACGGATTAGGAGATTCTGGCCGTTGATCTTTGCTATCTACGGTCCATATCGCTTGATTCGTGTAAGTGGGACCTAGCCCCGGGGGGCAAGTCCCGCTAGTGGACGCTTCCGCCGAGATGTGCAGAAATGGTGTTGAGTTTCATGAACTGCAGGTCTCCACAAACACGTCCAGATTCAGGCGTTGAGGTAGCTCAACGCTGCTAGTGGGACTTGGCCCCGGGCCTATGTACCTTGGGGCACTACTCTCCCTATGCACAAAAGACAAAAAAAGATGGCCATGTTTTCTTTTGTTTTTAGGACTAATTTGCGAAATACCCCCATAAGTTGAGATAGATGCCAAAATGCCCTTGAAAGATGTGGGTAGAGCGGAATGCCCTTTTGGGCCGAAATCTTTGTGTTACGCCCCTGTCAGGCGTGTGCAAACTTGATATCTGGACCTCGCCGTTTGGGCATGGCCTTTTGCAACTGGGCCTTAGGAAAGTTGCCAAGTTCTGGGTATTTTGCAGAGTTGGATGCTACCCGGTAGGGGTATATCACAAAGATGGGGGGCATTCCGCTCTACCCACATCTTTCAGGGGCATTTTGCCACATACCTCAACTTATGGGGGTATTTTGCAAGTCCCTTTTTTTTTTCAATGTGGCCCTATGGGCCACTGATCAGAACAGATACTACACTTGATCTTAGCCAAAAGGCCGACAAACGTATCCAATGTACCTTTCCAGGTTCTAGCAGTGGACTCAGGGCCTCGACACACCACAGTCCAAAATGCAATTCAGGATAGTTTCTGATTGCCACAAAGCCTTTTGAAAATGAAGACGGAGGCGGCCTGATCTGCGAGGTCTTCTGGAAGGATAGAAACAGAGCAAGGTTTTAGAGGAAACCCTTCTTTGATCAAGAAGTCAAAAGACACATCAAACAGGGTCTAAAGCAGGCAATCTGGGTGGAATGGAGGAGGAAGGCTGAGGCAGGAAAAGGGAGCAATCGTCCGCTGGTTCATGCACACCTGGGCAAAGAACCACCAGTTGGCAGGCGTCCATCTGAGAAAGGGTCTGGTCCTACCTCGCTGGTTCGATAATGTAGAAAACCAGGGGGATCATAGTTAGGAGATAGACTGCATTGTTAGTATAGGGAAAGACCAGGGCACTTGGTCATCTGACATTGGGGGTAGCAGGGGAAAAGAGTCTTCAGACTCGGACTCAGAGTGTCTAGTTCAAGTTGGTAGGCTTAGCTCCAACCAGGGAACTCCATTATTAGGGTCACAGTGGGCCAATAGGAGGATGTCATTACGATTGGGACGGTGGTCCACTGGACTGAATTACTCCAAGACTAGACCAGCCACGTCAGTCTACACTTTGGCTTACCCGCAGTTGAAGTTATATCACTCTATGAGGATCATCGAAAATTCAGAACTTGTAAACAGTGAGTTCTGTGGTTTCAGCTGGGGAGATAGGGTCTTAGAATGAGGAGTCGGTAGAATGGACTTTCTACGGGCTGAACGGCTGTAAGCTAAGCTGGCTGATGTTGTCAGTACTCCAGGTGTGAGGTCCCCGGCCTCTGGTTGAATTTATAATGAATTGAATGGCTTTTCGGGGGGGGGGGGGCGTGAAAGACGAAAAAAATGTTGCTACCGTCTTCACCCTAAAATAACGTCCGGGCGTTGTGTACGAATATAACGCCTGCCGGGCGTTATATATATATCGTCACAAACAGAACTGCCCGGTAAACCGTAGGCAGAGAGAGAGAAGAGGACAACAAACGAGGGGCTGTGACATATATATATATATATATATATATATATATATATATATATATCGTCAAATAGAACTGCCCGGTAAACCGTAGGCAGAGAGGGAGAAGAGGACAACAAACGAGGGGCTGTGACAAACTGTTTCGTCGGAGTTTCACCGACTCATCA